AGGCAAAACAAAAGCTGCTGGATTTTTTCAGTAAAATGGATTCAAGTGCAGGACTGAATCGAAAGATAATGAAAACAGCCTATGACGATCGTTCAGAGAAATCCGTCTTCACTTGGTTCCGGGACTTGGTTTTCCCAAGAAAGAAGCAAAGGAACTTTATTATCGCTACATTTTACGGACATTTTGAAACACTTTTTAACATTCCAGCATGCAACATTTTTATTACAATATATTACTGATTAAATAAAAATGTTTTTAATGACGTACTCTACATGTATTATTGTTTGATTTCATTACAGTCATGTGCGTTAGAATTTGTGTGTACGTGAGCCTGTAAACTTGAGCACGCCCACACAAGATCGCATATCCGAACTGTTTGCATAACCGAACAAAGAGCATGTCCCCCTAACAGTACGGATAATCGACGTTCTACTGTATTTACTATTTTAAAGGCCAGTGGTCATCATTTTTTTAAATATTTTTTCTGTTAAATTGTTTAACAGATTAAAAAATTAAAAATGTAATACCGGTACTGTCAATGCCATATTGTTTTGAACACCAAAACAGCAACATTGCTGATTGTATTCTGATAGTATATAAATTTTGTCTGGACAACTTTGCCGTTAATTTTATTCAAATTTATATGATTGAATGAAATAAATTAAAAAGTAATCACATCATGATCTTCTATATTCAACGTGTCCTAGTCTCCCACTATCAGTTTGACATCTGCTATTAAAGTTGGTTTAACCCAACTTAATCATTTAACAATCTCAAGGTGCACATAGCAAACCATTCAGAAACTTAGCTGGAAATGTTGCTATTTTGGAGTTCAAGACAATATGGTGACGGCTTTTAATGTACATACGTCCATGTACAAATAAATTGAAACTATTGGCCCATGTAAATGATATAACAAAATGATTTTTTTTCCCAATATCAAATGCTTTTCCTGAAATTAGTCTGGACACTGTTGTATGTTTTATAATCCTACTCTTGTTGTAGGTTGCAAGTCGTGTTCAAAAGTATTTCATAAAACTGGCTAAAGCTGGCTTACCTGTACCAGGCAGAACTCCAAATTTACAGAGCTACATTAACAGGCATAGGGTATGTTGCTTTTCTATTTTATTTAAAACTTGGTTATTTTATTTTTCTACTTAAGAAAATAGCGGAAATTTATTTCCTATTGAGTATAATGTAATCCACAAAAATATATACAATAGTTCTAGCGGCCTCTGTGTTTATTTTGTTTAGTTAGATCTCTAGAAGAATCTCCGGAAGTTTGTGATTTTCCAAATTTGTTCTCGCAACATTTCATTCCTTCTTCACTTATTTCTTTCATTGTTTATGTTTACGCTAGGAACTGTTCTTGTTTTTGAGATGTGTGTCTAAGTAATGTAATTTTAAAAACATTCCATTTTTGGTTTATGTAAACCAGTCTGTAATAACACGACATCCATTTAGTTTAGACTTGTGATGGATAAAACATTTCTAGTTGTTAACCTTTTCAACACCAGACTGTCTTGTCCAAATTTTTCTGCACTTTTTTCTCATATTCTTCAATATTTCTGGAAATGAACCCTAATTTTAGAGCCAACAAACAAAATTTGCATAAATTTTCAGTTTTTACTAAAAAAAATTGGCTATTTTATCCCAATCTTCTATTTTGTGAATTTGTGATAAAATACGGGAACTGGTGGTGAAAAGGTTATAAAACACTAAAAAGTTTGTATATATTCAACACAATTTTTACTATATTATAAACACTGGTCTGTCTATAGCAACTGCTTCCAGTGATTGGAACGTAAATCCTGACATTATGTAGCCACGAAAAAATAACGAGAATGAAAAATTGTTAATGTCATTTAGTAGATTGATGTTTCTTGTCTTAGTTCAGTGAGGCAGAATTGCATTATTGGTATATATATCCAAAAACACAAACAATCCATCAAAATGTGAGCTACTGCTGGATTTGTATTCTAGCAGATGGAAATTGAAAATAGTTTATTGTTTTTCACTTTAGTCATCTGTGCTGAAGTCATTGTATGCTATTTTTTTTTTACTTTATAATTAACAAAACAATTTGTTTCAAATTATTTAATAAATTGTTTTATTGAATTTACATCTTTTGTACTCAATATAAGAAATTCTACCAGGCTTTTTGAAACATTAACTGAGACAGAAAGAACTCACACATGTGGGTAGTAGAAGCATGCCGGACCTGGCAGACTAACAAAGTCTGTGTAAAATAAATCCAATTTTTGAGCACTGAGTTGCACATTCCATGTTTCATTTGGAATTGCTTTTCAGTGTGCCAGGCTGCCTCTAATTCACCCTACTGCATGACACAGTCTTAAGCATGAACATCATACCCACTGTTGTATGTACTTGTTTTTACAGCGAAAACAGCACTACTTCACCCGCCCTCTGTATCCAGCGTCAACTCTTTTGCAGTCTCATGTACCCCCTGTGTATATGGATGATGATAATGACAAATGTTATGATGACTTAGACCACTATAGTGATGAAGAGGAACCAGCTTCTGTAAGTCTGCTTTTTTCTCTGTATCATATCGTATTTGCATTTGTCTGCTGACGTAATGCTTATAAAAAATCATGTTCAAATCTCACTCAGCAGCTAGAATGGTCAGTCTATACAATACTACTTGGTCCTGACAGAATGACTATTCATCAATTGACGCCACCATGTTCTTGTCTTTCTAGGATGATGATTCAGTTCCTGAACATTTACGAGATACGGAGGAATATAGAGAATTGATGAACATGAAGAAATTAAAAAAAGAAAAACTGAAGCTACAGGTTTGTAAATGTAATTTTCTGTATGAGCTAATTAAGGATTATTACATAATTTATGATTGAATATTGTAAGCTGGTATATTGGTGTATAGTGTGAATATCACAATTTTAGGTATTCCAGATGAAAAAATTAATCAGTCAGGCTGTAACATATGTAACTTGTGAATGCTGTAATGACTGATTCTGATTCATGGGTCATTTTACTACATATGTTAAAGACTTCAAATAACACATTGCCTGCCGATAGCCCCCCCCCCCCTCATAGATAGTGAAATTGGCTTGGAAAATGGTACCAGCTGGTGGTGTGCTAACAAATTAATATACAACTTTAGTTCAGTGTTGCTCTGTGCATGCCATGCTTTCTATATTGTACTATCAGTGTATTGGAACAATTACTAAAACCCTGATACATTAAGTGCTGTCAGTCTCTGACATTGTTTCTGTATTTCTCACCAATAGCAGAGTGGTCAGTCGCAGCATGTAGGGTACTGCTGCGATGGATGTCACTCTGAGCCTATCATTGGTATTAGGTGGCACTGTGTAGACTGTCCACTAGAAGTATCGGTTGATCTATGTCACAGCTGTGCTGAATGGTGAGTAATGTGATTATGCTCTTTTAGTTGAAATAAATAGTATGACATTAAATAACGCACCCTCTAGCATTGTGTAAGCAGCCTTAATTATGGTGTCGTCTCGCATGATGTAAATTTCCTTAGTGTTCAAAATTGAAAAGTGTACTGTATTGGTAACCTCGATTGCAATATAAAATATAGCGCCCTCTAGCATTGTGTGAGTGGCCTCTAGTGTTTAAAATAAAAATGTAAACTGTATTCTTAGTTTGACGTGAGTGGAATATTAAATATAGCGTCCTCTAGCATTGTGTGAGTGGCCTCTAGTGTTTAAAATAAAAATGTAAACTGTATTCTTAGTTTGACGTGAGTGGAATATTAAATATAGCATCCTCTAGCATTGTGTGAGCGGCCTCTAGTGTTTAAAATAAAAATGTAAACTGTATTCTTAGTTTGATATGAGTGGAATATTAAATATAGCGTCCTCTAGCATTGTGTGAGTGGCCTCTAGTGTTTAAAATAAAAATGTAAACTGTATTCTTAGTTTGATATGAGTGGAATATTAAATATAGCGTCCTCTAGCATTGTGTGAGTGGCCTCTAGTGTTTAAAATAAAAATGTGAACTGTATTCTTAGTTTGACGTGAGTGGAATATTAAATATAGCATCCTCTAGCATTGTGTGAGTGGCCTCTAGTGTTTAAAATAAAAATGTAAACTGTATTCTTAGTTTGACGTGAATGGAATATTAAATATAGCGCCCTCTAGCATTGTGTGAGCGGCCTCTAATGTTTAAAATAAAAATGTAAACTGTATTCTTAGTTTGATATGAGTGGAATATTAAATATAGCGCCCTCTAGCATTGTGTGCATTTGTATTGTTTAATATATTTTTCAGATAATGATTTATAACATTTCTAGCAGTGTGATGGCGCTGTACAAAAAACAAGTTTAATATTACAGGAGGACTGTTTAATCTCATGGCTGGATCCAGTGGTTGAGTTGATTTTCTAATCTAGCAGTATCTGTCTTTGTTCGCAGTGGACACGTTACTGATCTTCACACTCCAAGTCATCGCATGGAATGTATTCGCTATGCTGAAGCTTCCACAGGTTACATTGATGGAGATTATACTGAGTTTCAACCGTACGCCGGTGACTATAACTATCTTGATCCCAACTACAATCCGGCTAAATTACCATCGTGAGTGATCGTCATGTCAACTAGTAGACTGTGATGTCAACAAACGATAAACTAGAGGGCCTCAAGCTTGTTATTCTATAACAAAATGATGGATTATTTCTATTATGTGATGGCGCTGTTTGCAAGGACTCCTCAAGTTGTGCTGGTGGGTGTGTGTGTGTTTGTGAGAAGATACGACTGTGGTGGCACTGTTCACAAAGACTCTTGGAATCATTGGCAGTCTGTGAGGGCGCTGTTCAACGAACAACAATAATATGATAGCAGGAATGTTTATTTAGAATTGAACCGTGTGTAACAGAAAATGGAATTATTTAAGTTGGCCATCCCCATCCTATATACACCGACTTGCGCAAATTCCATTGCTTTAAGGGATGGGTTGTGGAAACATGTGCTGAATCTTCTGCTCGTATTTGCAGAAACACGTTCAAGTATTACAACAACCGTGCATCCAAATTCCTCGCTATCGCATATTTTGGTTGCCTTGTCCTAATTGTGCATTCAAATGATTATCCAATCAATGTGTTTCAAAATAATCAATAATCAGAAATGCGACACAGGCTTACTATATTTACTCTATTATTACCAAATGCGGGTAATATGTGAATGAAAAAGATGTATTGATGGTCATAAAAACTAGTTACAAATCAATGCATTTTGTTATTTACATTTTAAGAGATGTGCTTCTAATAGAGCAAATACTGCAACTCTTCCCTCTCACCACTTTTCACAATGTAGTCCTGTCCAAGGTCAGTCTGTTTCACTACACTGTAGACAGAGATTTTCATAACATTAATTTATTCAGATTCTTACTGGTCTTAAATTCTCATTAAAATTATAGAAAATGTTAGCAGAGTAGCATTCAATATCAGGGCCCATACAATCTGTGTGAGTAAAATAAACTACTGTAAAGGCATAATTATTCACTGGGTTTTAATTTCACTATTTTCGCTGATATGTAAAATCCACTAAATTAAATATCCATGAATATGTAAAATAACTATAAAACTCATTGTAAATATGCTCAAAACATCAAAAGAGTGAAATGTCAGTGACACTAAATGGTTTTACAGTAAATTTGAACATGCATGGTGTGACAACCTTTGCTCTGTACATTTCATCACAGAAGACGATTGAAAATTCCTTCCTTTCTTTTCATTTGCAAGTTTTTTTTTGCTGAGATTACTGGTAATCGTTGAATATTACCCAGTGCAAAAGCCAGACAAATTGAATTACAGTTTGCATTCACTTTAAAATTGACAATGATAAAATGGATTGAAATGTATAAAATTGATGCAATAACTCTAATGAATTCTCAATCATTCACTTGGTTATAATTTTCGCTTATATCTAAGTACTCTAAATTAAATACCAGTGAATATACAATGTACAAGGCTAGCTATCCAACGTTGTGTTTCTTTCATAGAGCAGTAGTGAAATTAAAACCATGTCAAATCAAATCCAGTATCACATGTACATACAGACTATTTATTCATTTAGAGTGCAAAGTTCAAGACCCAATCCATCAACAATTTCTGGTTGCATGAATTTGTTAACATATTGACAGTCACATGAAATTTATCAACATAATTCAGTACGATGGCAGTCTGTGTAAAATTTCCAGTCTTACTAAAACACATGTTCTAATTTAGTGTAAACAAACAACTTCATGTGGGACCTCTATTGAACACATTGTCATGTGAAGATGAATATGAACTATTGTCTCATGTTCATGCTGTATATCGTTCACAGTTGTGATGTTTAGTGTGAATTATCTCTGTTGATAGGGCACAGTAAACGTCACGTTATTGACGATAAACATCGTAATTTTATGTATGTCAAAAACAGTACCGGTATGTAGAGAAACAAATTATATGTTGATCACAGTGTTAAAAGAATTCAGACTTGATAACATTTACTAACATGATGGAATTACACTTGCTTGTTGAATCGATATCGGAAATGATCGGCAGCCGCAGCAACAATGGTGTGCTTAGACATGTTGAATTATCATTTGATTAATAAGTATAGTTCAGAAAAATTCTCTTTTTCGCAAGCGGAGTTGTTAATGATAAGTAATTTGTTCGATAACATAAAAGGTTATCAACTGATATCACTTACTGTAAAATACTTTATTTTCGCTTGGAATTAATTTTCGCTGAAGGGATGATTCAGTGAAAATTAAATCCAGCGAATATACCTTTTTTCCTATATTTTACATTCAACTTGTTAAAAATCAGTGAAAATAAATTCCATACAAAACACCCAAAAAGTCTTTTCATCGAAAATTAATTCCAGCTAAAATAAAGTATTTCACAGTATTTGTAGAGTTGGTTGATACAAGTAACGTCATGGGCTGTATTACCTACTCATCTTTGGTTCATGGATAATACTAGCCTATGACATCACTCATATCAACCAGTTTCATTAACAATTATAATCTTAATATCAAAAACAAGGTTTCATTTCATTCTTTTCACTGCCAGCTCAGCAAATATTTCTACTGATAAGAAATATCCAATTTAATATGCACTTTAATTCATTTGGACCAAAATGTACAGCGTTGTCATGTATATAGTGTAGGAGTAAGCAATGGAAATATAAAAGTGACCATTCTTTATATTTAACAATGCATTTAGTGAGTGGTACCATAGCGGGAAAATGTGATCAGTTGGGCGAAATTTAAGTGCCATCACCAAAAGCCTTCATAGAAAGGGAACTATTTGAATTACAACGTGTAATTGAATCCTTGTCAGGATAAATAAAAAAAAATGAAATCAGTTGTATTATAATATGTACATTACCATCCCATTAATGGTAAAGTCTATTAAAGATTGTATGTACCGTTCATTTCAGTTTGATTATGTGTGTAAACCCCCTGACCTTTGATCACTGGTCATTTCAGTTTGATTACTGGTATGTGTGTAAACCCCCTTGCCTTTGATCACTGGTCATTTCAGTTTGAATCTATATCTCACATAATGGAAAGTATGTACAATAAACACACCTCATAACCCTTCAAGGTGTATGAAAAGTACAAGACAAGCAAGATTATAAGGCTGTCCACCCTCAGAGCCAATGTGAACTTTGAATTTGCTTCTGTGTGTGCGTGCGTACCTGTATTGAAGAAATGCCTGGACCAATCACAGTCAAACTTCACACATACATCATACATGATATTATACAAATGCACATAAATTTGTTTCACGATCTGATTCAAGATGGCCAAATGGAGGCCATTTTTGTGCTAAAAAAAATCATCAAAATCAAGCATTTCTCGGCTGTTAACAGATGGATTTTGTTCAAACTTGGTATATGGTGACGTTGGACATTATATGACCTTGATGTCATAAGATTCAAACTGAGGGGTTACTAAGCTTTAACTATGAAATTTCCTTGGTGATTGGAAGTTATCGAAGGAGTCACCGGCGGTAATTAGTGTATGTTGTGCCCAGGTCAAATCTTGTACATGTGATTTCCATTAGAAGAGCGCATTGGATTGTGGGAAAATCAACATGCGCAGCGCGACGACCACTGCTTTTTCAATCAAGCGACCTTCCATTTTTACATGATTTATTATATTTGGGCACCTACCCCTTCCAAAAAAACGAAATTTTCTGACCCTTCATGAAACCTTGTCATTGAACATTGTTTTTTACTGTTATAAACAACAAAAAATCTACACTTGCAAAATATGGTTTGTCAGGAATAAAAGCAGAAACATTTATAAATTAGTATCTTTTTAGAGGACGACAGATTTGCATGATAAAACCTGTATTTAAACAATAATGAACGACCCGACAACCCATAATGGGCGAAAGCTCACTTTGTGCGACATATGTACGAGGCGTGAGCCGAGTACATATATGGAGCACAAAGTTAACTTGAGTCCATTATGGGTTGTCGGGGAGTTCATTATTGTTATTATTTTGTAGCGTTGTCAATACCAGGGGATTTGCTGCCTCTAAAAAGCGAAAAAAATTGGAGAAAAATCTACAGTGTACGGAATAGTTTCACAGTTTCTGGCCCGTGAATCTGAATAATTTAAAATGTTTTTCTGGAAATTGTTTCCACAATCTTATATGGCAAACTAAGAAAGAAACTAGTTTTAATTACCTCCATGGTTACCCCATCCCACTAGTGTTTTCAAACAATCAAGGTAGATATTATTGGCAACTGTCCTGTCTGTGTAATAGTTATTTTAAATTCTACGGGAGGGCGGGGATTTGACGAATACTAAGAAGCCAAACGAAACTTACAGGCGTAGCGGGCAAACGAACATGACCGGAAA